GGGTTTCCCATGTCTATCGTATCTAACCGCGATGTCAGATTCACAAGCATGCCTTGGCAGAAGCTGATGGACGCCTATGGTACACGACTCACCATGTCGTCAGGTAGACACCTTGAAACGAATGGCCAGTCTGAGCAAATGAACCGTATGGTTCAACAACTTCTGAGAATGTATGTCCGTCCTGACAAAATAGACTGGGATGAGAACTTACCCAAGATTGCCGGTGCATATAACAATAGTGTGCATACCGCGACGGGACGCACACCTAACGCACCGCACAAGGGATGGAAGCCTAAGCGTCCCATTGATGTTTTAACCAGGGATCAGTTTCTTAGACTTCCACCAGGGACAAAGGAATATGCCATTATGTTTCAAAAAGACATTAAAAAGGTGAAGGACAATCTGAGGAAAACCCAAGAGCGCATGATTGAACAAGCTAACAAACACCGACGCCCGTCTACTTTCCAAGTTGGTGACTTGGTCTGGGTTAAGTCCAAAGAGTTCACTCTAGAAGAGGATGTTTCTCAAAAACTGGTGCCTGTCTATCTAGGACCCTGGGAAGTTCTCAAGGTGATAGGGAATACCGATGGACCATCATACCGGATTGACATTCCCCCTCATCTTCGGACATACCCCGTCTTTCACGCGTCTAAACTACTTCCATATGTAGAAGGAACGGAATTTCCTCACCGACCATCTGCCATACCTCCTTCTATGAATGGTAACTATGTGGTTGAGAAAATTACTGACAATGGATTCTTTTCTACTGGTGGAAGAGGCAGACCTCAGAAGCAGTATAAAGTGAGATTTCAGTTCCAAGATGCCTCTGAAGACCGTTGGTTTAGCAGACGGGAACTGATGGATACTGCTCCTGATATTGTTGCTAGCTATGAACGCGAACTGAAGTCTTAAGTATTTCTGCGGTGGAACTCGAATTCGGGCCGGCAGGAATGCAGCAGCGGCCTGGGCGCTGTAACCCAAGCCCAGGCCCAGCGAGCAGTGCGACCACGCGCTGCTCGGCCTCAGGCCGCTGCGGGTGCTGTGTGACCACGCACAGCAAGAAATTCAAAGGTCAAAGTGAACTGTAGGTCCAGGTACCTCGCCCAGGCCCTTGGTCGTGTGCATTGACTTGTATGTGTGCAGGTACCCAGTCAGAACGGTGGACCAAGGAGGATACAGTTTCAACTCAATCCAGGCCGTCAACGACAATCGATCTTGGCCGTGTCTGACTTGAGGACTGGGGCCCAGACCCCGCCGTCAACACTACATATTGGGCTGATTTCCTGGCTTTGATATCTAGACTCTCGTCTGGAGTCTACGGAGACGCTCTCGCGTCAACGCCGGCTCTATGCTGTCTTGCTGGCGAGACGCTGCGGGGAGAACTTGACGACCGGCGCTCGTCGCTGGTTTGTGGCTTGAATGTGCTGTGCGACCAGCATGCTGGCTGGCGCACTATTGTCTGAGGGGTTGTCGACATGGCAGATCCCACGTGTCATCTTCGTGGCTGCTGCCACGTAGTATTGCTGTTGAGATAGGAGGCGCTGGGCGCCTGTATTGTTGTTCTGCTTGACAAGTACTCGGAAGGAGGATTCAGGACTGTGGTTGGGGTCGTGATACGTACCTGGTGTCTTTAGCTTCGTCGTCACGCCGCTGCTTGATGATTGGTCTGCTGGTGCCACGTGGCACTGTTGGTCTACATTGTCTTGGACGTCTGGATCTCTGATTGAGACATGATTATGCTGCTAGGAGGAGGAAGTGCCCRAAGAGGAAGTGGGCTGTAGGGAGGAGACTCTTCCACCCTCTCAAAGTCTATTCTCCCTCCTCCCTCTCTCGTCTGTGTATGCATTCTCTCTCATCTTGGGATCATTATTATTATGATTTATCAGCAGCGTTCGTCTATTTTGTCTTTGCGAGTGACGACTGATTATCACGACTGGGCACATTGCACCTTTCCTCTTGCTTCTTTTATACTCAGTGGATCTCTCCCCCATGGTTCTCGTATTACTCGGGTCAAGGTCCACTTGGCCGGATTCTTCATTTCTGGCCGTTGATTTTTCACAATCTATGGTCAGAGATCGAGAATTCAGGTAAGTGGGACTTGGACCCCTGACTGCTCAAACCTGGAAGCAAACAATCGGATACAGTCGGATGTTCAGCGAGAAAGGGAAGACTTTTTCTTCCAACATAGGAAGATTGTACCCGCTGTGGGGCTGAATGTTACACACCTGCAATTGTAGTTAATAAATCCTGATGAATAGTAAAACGCTAGGTGCCACCCAAGGGGGGAGGGCAAGCATTAAAGGCTACCTCGTTAATTGGGGCAAGGGTAGGGGGGGGGGGGGGGGAGAGAAAGGATAGTTACTCGGAGGGCGAAAAGGTAAGAAAGAATCAGCGCTGCTAAGGAGTGAACAAGGGGAAAAAAAAAACACCCGGTGAAGGAAGGATCCCCATACCAATCTGGGCACGAGCCAACACTTGCAGACGAGAACCGAGGGGCTACAGAATTCTATTTGTTCTATTTACTTGATAATTTCTGAATTTGTGAACTCATAACACTGCAGGGGGGGGGGGG